TCTAGACAATCATGAATAAGTTTTCATAGCTGCTGCTATGAAACTAGTCTCTGCTTCAAGCATTATCCCCTGGCTTGCTTCAATTTCTCTTCTCTCCCACAGAGAGGCAAGCAGCACAGCTGGGTCACTACCAAGGGAAGCTGTACTTCACAAGGGACTGGTTTTCACCTCCTTCTCGGCAAAGCAGTTGTTATTGTCCACATCCAGCACATAATCGATCCATCACTTGAAGCACCAGCATCTTAGAAAAGGACTTCGCACACATGAGCAACCAGACTCAGCCTGGAGCCACCAAACCGAATGTAAGTGCTTCAGCAGCAAGCTCTGCCAATTAAAAAAAAAAACTCCCAAAAGTTACATTGACTATGAAGGAGACACCAATCCCATTAAAAATAGATACCTCAAAATAAACTGCAGAGTCTCTGGCATCTCCCTGCATCCTGTAACAACACCAGTCAGACCTTAATATGTAAATGTTAATTCACTAGCAGACAACTTTCAGAAAAAAGCCTGTCTGGCAAATGATCAAGGTGATACCATCTCTACACCACACATGACGGTAAGACTGAATGCTTTGCCACCCAGACTAGGAAAGAGCAGAGTATGGTGGATTAAGAACAAAAGACTTTAATACATACATCCCCCTCAGAGGAGATCAAACAGCTACAGAAGGAGAAACGATCACAACCACAGACAGTGACTCAAGTTGGCGAACACTAGAGACAAAGTTGTGTGAGATCAGCAGCCCGGACTATCTTCAGAGACCTGAGGTAACAGCAATGCACAGCAGACGGAGGCCAGAAACACTTACAAAAATACAAATTTTTGGCTACAGAATTCAGCAGTTAATGAAACACATAACTGTGCATTTTCTATTCAAAAAGAGACGTTTTATTCCAACCCTAGCTGTACAAAACTTACAAGCTCCTCACCTATAGACAAGTCATGAAAAGCCCCCTTGTCACTTTTCAGCCCCATCCTCCCCACAGGCTACAACAGGATCTGATAAGAGTTAATATGATAAGCAATGTGAGACTGCCTAAAACAACCAGACAGTCAACTGAGATAAAGATCAGTAGAAAATATAAATTCTGTGTCTGGGTTGATCCCATGCCAGGACTGCTGATGGTGTTTGAAGCTATTACAACCTTCACTTTGCACACAGAACAGGCAGCCCAGCTGGCTGGCCTATAGTGGGTAAGAAACCAAGTAGTGCTTTTTTAATAAATGTATAACATCTTAGATAAATCATACAAAGGGCTTTCACCATCATACCTTTGTGAGAAATCAAGGATGAGATTTGTGAGAAATCAAGGATGAGATAGATCTGCACACACAATATGCTTTGATGTCTGCTAAATCAAGTTCTCTTCTCCTTTTCACAGGCAAATCTCTCCTAAATATTAAGGGAACCCATTAAAAAAAAAAAAAAAAAAGGTAACGACCAAGGCAGTTAATGCAAAATGGGAAGAAGTTTCCTCAGAGATGATGCAGATGATGCTCCAGCTGGAGCAAGTGTTAAGCACACAGCTTAAGTCTTTTCAGTGATATCAAATTCAGCTCTCAAGAGGAAGTTTTGTATTTCATCTGCAAACCCAGACACCAATATTAAGGAGACACCTTTAAAGCATCCAAACCCATTTATTTTTCCATCTTTTTTCTACCCCTTCCACAACTCTGCTCATTCTCCTCTACTTAGTACCAAGTTCCATTTTTTAATGTTTATGTTTCCTGTTCCTTCTACAGAAAAATGAATACCTTAAAAAAACGATGAGAGGTTTAAAAGTAATGTCTTTTTCTGGGTTTACCCTTGTTGAAGGAGAGGGTCTGTACTGGCAGCACAGCCAGAGGAGGCATCATCCAGTAACAAAGCCCCTCCTGTGAGTCAACAGGCATCAGCTATGCAGAGATGCACCAAAAAAAGAGCAATACTCCTGGAGTATTAATGGCTAATTAATGGCTAATTGAACCAGCTGTTGATTTTCTACTGAACACATCAGTCAAAACCCCAAAGACTGTTGAAAATTAAATGCTGCTTTTGCAGATGACACCTGAGGTGATGTATTGAAAATTACTGTTGATGGATACTAGAACAATCAAAGTTTTGCAACTGAAAATCAAACAAGTTCCAAGGGGGGAACAAGGGAGGAAACTGCATCTCTTCTCTGCTTCCCCATAACCACTAGAGAAGCAAACTCAAAGCATTTTCAAATCCAAACATACTTCACTTTCTTCTCTGTTCACAGCCAAAAAAAAAAACCACTCCACATTTGCTCATGAACCACAATAATTCTATTAATTTGAGCTGTAATTCAGTAGCTTGCCTTGTACAAGATTTCTGAGCTATAGGTACCCTACAAGCTTTGACATCCATTTATCTCAGTGACACAATCATGAGGAAAGACAGACTTTAATACTCAGAAGGAGAAATAAGGACAGTAGCTCCTGTCCTGAGAAGAGAGCACAAAAAGGAAAAGACACGTCCAAAACATTGAGAATTATCAATTGCAAAATGATTTAACAATTAATCCTGTTGATTCCTTTGCAACCTGCAACTATTTAGTGCTCAGTTTCTTTGAGGTCTCTTGAGATCCTATCTGTCGAAAGAGATCACAGCAAGCTTGTGTATGCCTGGTTCTATTATTACTTTCCTCAGTCCTGTTTTATGTCTCCAGCATGCTATAACTACTTGTTGGTAAGACAATGCCATCCAGCAAGCCTTGGTACAGGCTTTCATTTAACTAAGGGAACCTACAGAACTCTGCTGCATGATGTTTGGACTGGATGCTAGTAGGGTTTGTCAAGCCAGCACATGAGTTCATGCACAAGCCCAAACAGCTTCTCCATCCTTGAACACAGCCACTCCAGAACTGAAATCCTCGGGTAAACTTATGAACTTACTTATCACCGGGGATTCAAAAGAAAAGTAATGAAGTGAACAGCTTAAGGATGCAACTGCAAACAACTCAATTAGCCACGGAGGCAAATTAGTCAGGCATACATTAAACAAGAGGACAGAGGAAAGCCTAAGTGAAGTACTTCATAAAAAATATTTTAAGCCCCAATCTTGTATCATCCACCCATCCATCACAAAACTATGTGACTAAGGAGAATTCCAGGTAAAGTTCAGATTTGGAGTTTTTGGGTATTTCTTTTTTGTTGTTGTTATTTTTAAACTAGGTGTTCCTTAAGGATAACAGCAAAAGATCATGACCCCATTTCCACTCCTCCACAGTCTGTGGGTCTCCCTATGATGTTCCTAATGTCACGTAGGCTCACGGATATCACCTTTCCCGTGAAAGCACAGGGATTATCTTTCTCTACTACTTTGCATTCTCCCTTGCAAGGACAAATGACACTTCCTGCTATTCTTCCAACTGTGAAAAATAGCTACTTACATCAAGCAGAGCACCAATAGCCTCGTTTGTTAACCAGCTGTTTTGCTATAAGTTGTTATTGTATCTAAATATTTTGAAATGTTTTTCTTGCCTATAAGAGTCATTTGTTCCAGGAATTTTCCAGAAAAAGATAGTTCTTACCTTTTCATTCCAAGTAAATAAAATAGTTTCTTGGGCATACATTGCCGTTTAGTGAATTCTGTGTAGTACCCAAGAATTTAAAATAGGGCTAGCATAAAAGTAGTTACTGGGTTAAGATAGAGACATGCTCCTTTTCATCTGAGCTCAACCCATGAATGCCTATCAACATGTGCTCATTCAAAGAAGACCAGAATTAGAAGACTCACATCACGTTTTCTAAATAGTGGTAGTTTTGTACATCTAAATTTTTTTAATGAGCTTTCCCAATGCAAAAAGCAAAGGTTGCTGCAGAAACAAACAAATGAAGAGAAACAAAAAGCTGTTTCTCAGAGATCTGTAAACTTAATATGACGTCATTTCCTCCATGGTGGTCCCTTTATTTATTTTATTTTCACTCAACAACCATGCACAAAATGTTGATAAAGTCAAAGGTTGAATCTTATCTCCCATTCTCATGTTTTTTTAGGTACATAGAAGTTTCCTGGAAAAGTTTATACATTTAGGGATGTCTGGACCTGCTGGATTCTCAAAAACAAGATGTTACCAAGTGATATCCACTGAAGTTAGGTCATTATCATCTATGGGAATATGTTCTTCAGTAAGGAGGATATGTAACTCACCCACGTAGCCATACTGCCTCATATTGCTCTCTAGGGTGGTAGCACAGATTAGCGTGCTTTTAAGATACAAGCAGCTTAGAAGATGAACCTCCTTCCCATATAATTTTCAAATCCATTATATAAATTTCTAAGCAGAAGAGAAACTATTTTGTATGCTTTGGAAACAGAATTGTACTTGAGTGGCATTTCTTCAATAACAGTTGTCAATTAAAGGTAAAAAGCATCCTAGCAGACACTGAAAGAAACGTACACAAAGAACTGAGCCTTTGTATGTCCCACAGTGTCTGGAAAGCATTCCCTGTATTCCCCTAAGTCTATGATAGAGATGAAATGCAGTTATCTCACTAGTATTTTTAAGCCCAAATGAAGTGTGTCCTCTTCAAACCTGAAAGTCCAATTGCTTCAGGACAGATCCTGCATTACCCTGTCATTCCCATGCAGATACCAACATCAGCCCATGCACAAAGGAAAATACCTTACAAATCTAATAGATTAAACTTCCTGCTCCTGACAAAATAAAATTTTGCCTTCATATTTTGAGTATAACAATGTAACAACAAACCAAGCCAAAGGAAGAAATCTCCCACAAATGCACCTGACGAAAAGTAAATAAAATACATATTCCTGGCACTAGGCCTCAAAGGTTCATAGGTGATAGCACTCACACTGACAAATTATGCCAAACAAGAAGTTCTGAACTCTCACTCAAAAAACTTCATCCACCTGTCAGGAAAACAAAGCACATCTGGAGCCAAGCTACATCATTTTAATTGGTTGAATAATAAAAAAGGGGGGAGAATTGCATTGAGGCCAACATAAGTAAAAACAGGGCTGAACTGACCTTGACATACGCTAGGTAATGCTCACACTTTTCCTGCATGTACAACAGTTGTAACTTCTCTGTGACCTGTCCCACTGTCTCTCCAGAAGTCACAAAGTAAACTCTGGGTTGCTGGCTCTTTTCCTTCTTTGCCACATCAGCAGTCAGGTTATAATTCAAACCTGTTGTAAAAAAAAAGAAAAAGAAGAAAGCAAAGGATGTCAGTGAACAATAGTTACTTTCTAGCCACCTATCAATGGATCCTGTTGTCCCCAAGGCATATGTGCTTAAAAAAAGGTCAGGCCTTGCAGGCTCTCAATCAATCACAAAGTTTCCTGTGGCTGCACAAAACCAAATCCAATTCCTGACATACTCCCAAGTTTTGTGCCACTGCTTTCCCCAGCCCTTCCTGAAGGATGACAAGAAGCAGTAGGAAGTTATGTGTAAAAATACATCTAAACAGGCACACCTAAAAAAAAAAAAAAAGAAAGAAAAAAAAAACACTTAAATTATGCTATTAAAAGAAAAAGCAAAAAACAACGCAAACAACAACAAAAGCCTCAAGCTTTGTTTTCCTCTTACAAAAGCACAAACTATGCATATGTCAACCAGGATGTGGCATTTCCTGACAATTACTTCAGTTGATTTGCAGTCATCTTAGAGTTTAGCCCTTAACTAGAGGTCACCACCTTGCACTGAGCATCCATCCCCTTTTAGATGTTACACAACCTCGGCAGTTTATAGAACAAATACCCAGAGACTAGCCAGCTGTTTTCCTGCTGCTCTACAAAGCAGGTAGCTTAACACAATGGGTGGGTTTGTGATTGGATGGATATTTTTTCAGAAAAAAAAAAAGGTTGCTTGCTATGTCAAGAAGTTGCATAGCAATTGAATAATCCAAACTGATTGCACCTTTTCCATCAGCAGCAAAACTGCAATAGAAGCACAAATGCTTGCTCTGCTGCTGTTTGCAGATGATTTAAAGGCAGGCTGTGAGGTCCTTTCACTCATCACAGACCACGGTCTGTATTGATTTCAGCTGTTATCAACGCAATGATGGGAGTACCATGAGACTGGCCCACTATAAATGGCTTAATTAGTTGATTATCTTTGTATATGACAGCCAGTGACAGCTCCTGTACTGATTAGTTACATATGTAGGGTGATTACCAAATTATTGCTTTGGTTTTTATTCATATTTTAAGTCCTAAATGATTGAAGCCAGATAAAATGCTCCCCATAAATGTAAACTTTTTTTTAACCGAGAATTTTATAAAAATTCAGTGCAAATGTAACATATTGCTGGATTGAGGTCTTCTATACATAATTTCAGCAAGGGATCTTTATTGTTGGTTGCTGCATTCTCATTCTGTTTTGTATTGTCTTTTTTAATCAATGAGAACTGATCTCTTAAAATTAATACTGCCACCAATGTTCTCTCCTCTAATCATTTATTCACCGAAGTCTCATTGCTTTAAAAAATTCATTTAATGATATTGTGCAACTTGGTTTCTGTGAGCATGCAGCATTTCCGTAACTCACACCCACCTCACTTTGTGCTGCTTTCTGACCAGAAGCCCAGCGTTTGGCCTGTTTGAAATCCCAGCAGTCTCTTTAATTTTTTTCTTTGAAGTGTACACATACCACACCCAACCCCGATTTTCTCTCTTCCTCTTTCAAGACCCCACAAGCGGGCCTAGGGCTGTGCCTCCATCCCCTGCGTAACAAGGCGATGTGCCAGCAGACCCAGGCCCTCATGGGCCCGCTGGACCATGCGTCCCTTCAATGAGGAAAGGATGGCATCCAGAGGGAAAGGGGCCGCCCAGGGAGGCCCCGAGGGAGGTCTCGTCCCAACACCAGCCCCATACCAGGCCTCAAGGCAAAACGTTTCCAGCTACCACAGCAGCAGTGGATGTTTTCAATCAAAATGTGCAGTCAGCCTCTCGTCCTCCCCTACCCCCACGTGGCCACCTCCCCTTTATTTTGACAACTTGTTTCTATGTTATATCCAATGATGTCACATCAGTGGAAAAACTGAAATATCATGAGTAAGGCTTTTTTTTTTTTTTTTTCCCCACTCTGTCTTCATTGCTTCCAAAAAGCAGCCAGGGTGGGGAAGATAACTGGCCAGCCTCATCACCACTGGTGGTTTAAGTTTCTCCTGCTGGCTCCAGCAGCAGATCAGGAGGCAAGCTCTTGCTAGCAGATTTAACTCTTGCAGGTAATGCCTTGAAATTCTCTTCCAGCAGCTTAAAGTGTAGTTAGCAACGCTTCTGCAGATCTGCCCATCCACTTCACACTATCAAAAGAAAACTCTGGCATGGACACAATGAGAGTAGATGAAGGGCTTTATTTTTCTAGTGATTATTCCTTTCCTGTAACTAAAGTCTAATGCCTAAGAGGCCTCAGTAATAGCTCCCCCTGAGAAATTTTGGGTCATATCTCCAAGAGGACTACCAGCCAGCAGAGTCACTCCAGGTGGTGCTTGGACACCACAGCAACATACCTGCCAAGTAAAAATGGCATTTTTACAGTGGATTTGCATTCCTAAGTGGCACGACATGCAAGAGGCATGCCCTGCAGAGGGCTGAGGGTAGCCCTGAAGAGGACTGGAGTAAGGAGAGGGGCAAAGAGGACAGTGGTATCACATGGTCTGAGACAGGAATGACAGCTGGCTGTGTTAATGAAGAGCCTGCACACCCCCAAGCACCCAGCAAAACACTTCACATCTCACTCAGAGGACGCCACAGCATACCAAAGGCCCGTGGCAAAATGCTCAGCAGGAGCGCATCCCTAAGGACTTGATAGGCTGCTAACTTGTACCGATTCGGGGGTGGACACCAAATAAATTGGAAAACACATACCTACAACAAAACTGCTGCTGAGGCATTCATAGGTTAGCACCACTTGAGACCTGCACCCAGGTCTCTTGGAAAAACAAGAGACAGACAGAAATAACACTCCTGCATCAAACTACAGCAGGATGCTGATAAGAAGAGGAGTATCTGCTTTTGTCAGGTTTTGGATCAGTCATGTTCTTCAGTCCTAGTAGAATACCAAAGCAGAGCAAAAACAACAAACAACTCATTATTCCACACTACATCTCACAATGCTCTCTTAGACAACACTATCTGGGACATGAGGACTACTCTAGACATGGATCAACGTACAAGTGATACACGGCTGAAGCAAACAATGAAGGAGCAAGTTTGAAGAACTATCTAAAGCACCTACCTCCAGCCAAATGCCCCAAACCTCTTGTTTTCACAGCCTTTAAAATTCATCTAACCCTTACACTGGCACAGATTTTTTTATTTTTGTACAGGAGATTACCCAGATCATAGCCATGAGTTTAATTCCCTTCTCTGGTGGAGATGAATGCAGTAACTCATGCACAGAGATGCCAGCAGCCTCTCTCTTATTGTTCTGGTCACCCAGAAGTGTGTGGTCTGAAGACGTTGAAGCCTGATCATCCAGGCTAGGAAAGGATTTCATCTCGTCCCTGCTTTTTCTGAGTTGTAGCTCAGCCTAATGTTCTGCAAGCAAACACTGTCACGTCGTGAGATCGTGAGATGTAGCTGTGGTCAGGCAAAGCATGAAGCATCACTGCAGAACACAACCATGGCAATGCTGAGCACACATGCCCTCAGCCTAGCCATAAGGGAGGACAGCAATAGCAGCAACTACACAGCAGAATCTATGCAGGACCCTCAGGAATCTTTGACCATTATTTGCAGTGCATGTCACAGTCCCTGTTGCCGTGTCTTCATCAGTACTGCTCATCTCTCCTGCACCCTCAATGCCAACTTGCTACAGAGCCACACTGCATTCCAGTAGCTGTACCAAACCTAAACTCAACCCATTTCCTAGTATAGAGGAAGCCAATGGGGGACAATAGAACATTTTCTGTCAGTTTAAGATGTTTTGGGATGTTTTTCTTTTTTCCTTAAAGTGTGCAATACATACATATTTACCTTATCCAGGAAAGCTGCTTCCTTTCTTTCTCACCTTGCAAGAGCTGCTGCTGCAGAAGAGAGCGTGCTGAGCACTATTCTACAGAGACCCTTTGGGGGGCTGACAAAGCATTGCATTTCTCACACATCCAAAACATACCAGAGTTTGACTCTGATGGTGGATGCTCATCTCCCCAGAGAGCACTGAGGCAGAGTGAAGGGTCAGACAATGTCTGGCATGCAGAGCAGAGCACACACTTCATTTGGGCATTGCACTTTGTTCAGGCAAAACCATTTCTGCAATAAATTCATACTTCTGAAGACCATAGTCAGCAAACAGTATCCACGAAATGGATGGGAATTATACAGTCATTGTCAGCATCAAGAAGCAACAGTAAACACAGACTCTATTACATGACCAACAGTACTGCAACTGCTGTTGGGGAAAAAAAAAAAAAGGAAAAAGAAAAAAAAAAGGTGGGAAAGTTTTGTATGCAAGTGAGACAGATAAGACAGCTTTCCTTCACATGGCACTTAATGAAACAGCATGTTCACATAAGCCTTGTAGACAAACATTTCCCAGAGAAGAATGCTGCCTGCACGTTCAACTTGACTTTCTAAACATGTAGTAGGTGACCAACTTCAGCTGCCCAACAGCAAGGTCAAAGCCCAGATTTTCCAACAGTAACCAGCAGTTTTGAGTGTCCATACTGACAAGCCTTAAGGGAACAGCATTTTTCAATGAGCCCTATGTTCTCACTGCCTGACTTATCAGACCGGTCCCAGACATCTGAAGCTGAGGCAATCCCAGAGTCTCTGCCACAAAACTTTAACACAGCATTTCAGCAATTCTTCATGCCTTTCAGAGTCTGAACTGGACACTGATGTACTTGGAGGAATATTTTATTTTTTTCCATATTTAGCCACATAGGAGAGGAATGGTTGCAGTATTTCCATGAATTGTTCCACCCTTTGTTAATTGATACTCTTCAGCTACAACATAATTAAAATGGCCTGTTAGATTACAAACTGAAAGCTTATTTGAGATATTGTATCCAAATCATATCCCCGAGGGTTTTTATACAGTCAGTTCTGGCTGCAATGTTTTCAAGACAAATCAATTTGCTAGAAGTATTGTATAAAAGGACAATGGTTGGAAGTTTTATAATCATCTACTTAATAGTAAAAAAATCCCTTGCAATGAGACGGATGTTACCCACCAAAGAAGATGCACACGTGCTTTCACCACAATAAATCATCAAGAGCACTGTTTATATGACAATGCAGAGGAATGCAACTGGCTCTTACAAGACATGATGAAGCAGAAGATAACTCTTTCATGAAAATGGGGAATATATATTTAAAACGAGAAACAGGCAGATCATTTCTTAGCCACAGGTCAAGAGACACAAAATTAAAGCAAAGCAAACATTTTAAACAGTATCCCCAGGAACACAAGAAAACCTAGGCATTCAGTAGATCTACTCACAGATTTTCACAAAGAAATCAACACCCCTGAAGCACCCAAGGACACGTATTTTCTAACTGAGAGAGTAGCAGGACATACAAAAAAAAGCTGTATCAAAGCACATATTTGTCTGCTAGGAGTCTGACATTATTTACAGGGAAGGAAAAGGGGCAAAAATAGAAAATGAAGTCCCAGTTGCATCCATATGTTAGAATCCAGAGAAATCTTAAACTACAACTCTGTTTTTTTGATCTTTCAGGTGACTGTGATGAGATGCATAAAGCAATGCCAACGAGCAGCTTCTAGTTTGTACTCCACATGAGAGATAAAACAAGCCCACTGCCATTCCTAAAGCATGGTCAAGTTAAAACAGCATGGTTGAACTAAATAAATCCAGTCTTCATGGTATTTAGAAATGCTGTATCTATCTCAAACCACTTCAGGCAATACCTAAGACTGGTAAACATCGGGATGTAAAAGACATAGGCAATAATTTAATGCAGTCAAGATGTAATGACTGGCACAATTACACACCTTACATGATTTCATTCACCCAAGTGAAGTGTAAGTTTACAGAATGGTCTCTAAACCACCCATGTGGTTTAGAGACTAAGCAACTCAAAAGATATTCTTGCCATCAATAAAATACTGGGCTATTTATAATTGTTTTACAGATGGGTAAACTGATGCATTGAAAAGGATTTGCTTGTGTCTGGCGGTAATAACACCCAAGAGTTCAAATTTATGGTGCTCTATTTCAAGACCTCCATGTAGATTTTCAAAAAGTATTCATCCAGAGCATATCACAGCTGCTTTATGATACAGGATGTGTATAAAAAAAATGTGTTATCAACAGGCAAATAGAGGGAACATGAACTTTCAAAACACTGTTTGCTTCTGTGTTCTCTATCCTTGCAGTAAGGCTAAGGATACGTTTTCCTGTCCTTTCACTGAAGAGAAAACTACTCCAATATTATCTCATCCTCATCAGAAAAGGAACAAATTCCAAAGGAAGCATCTTGGGAGCCTCCAACTTTCTATAACTGCATACCCCAGCTCACCTCAAAAAAATTTCTTTCACAGAAAACCTTTGATACTGACTCCAAAGGGAGCCCCCAGCTCCATGTCAACCTGTCTGGGTGCCCCTGACCAGGGCCGGCACAGGTACCTTACCTATTTCTCCAGGAACATGCTTGCCACTGAAGCGAAAGCATGCTGTGACATTGAGGCAGTTCACAGGCTGCAAACCATCATGGCACTGAGGAGCTGTGATATTGATGGATGCTGGCAGAAAAATTGAGATGTCCATGGTGATGACAGGTCTGGATCTAGAGATCAACATAGAAGTGGAATTGAACAGTCATTCAAAGAGAAGTTTCTCAGCCAAAGCAAAACAAATAAAAATCGGTAATGTGCACAATTTCAAGCAGAAATTAAAAATAAAAAAATGCATTTGAACTCTAAAACAAATTAGCTCTTGACCTAGCTGGCAAAGACAGCTAGCTTCTGAATGAAAATCACAGCATTAGCTTGAAGTTCAGTGCTCAGATACAGACTGCAGGAGGCAGCTGGGGTAACTGATAATATATAACAAACATCTCCAGTAAAAGTTGCATAAAGTCTTCCTGATGACTGAAGACAAAATTAGCAAGTGAGGACAACAGACTCATGCAAGTGAGGCTGCTAGCTAAGGTGCCTGCATAGTCAGGAGAGGTAAATAATGGTCCTAGGTAAAATCTGTAACCTGAAAGTCAAGTTGGGAGCACAGGGGTAGGAGATGCATCCATACATATTTTTTCTTATGGTGTAAGTGGGACAAGAGTCAAAACATTCACATTTTCTGGAAGAGCAAATATTTGGGTAATTTCTCCCAGCAGATGCTAAGAAATGAATACTCTTTCCATGTTGTAGAAATCTACTTTGGGAGTGACCCAGTGCACCGTGAATGGAAGTTTTCCACCCTTGCAACTCCTACACTGAGCTACTGCTACAGTAAGTCCCAGCTGAAGAAGAGCTCAGCAAGAGTCGCAGAGCAAGCTAAGGACCACCAGGGCCCAGGTGAGTCTGCTCTCAGATGACACAGAAGTGCCACCAGCTTTCCTGGGAAAAGCAGCTCAGAAATCCAGTATCTACAGAGCTGTCCTCAGTGCAGGACTTCAGTCCAAGTATTCAGCAGGTGTTATTCTTCGTGGTTTCAGTTCCGTACATGTCCAATTTGAACGTGCTCTTCCAAAAACAACTCCAGTATTTAAAAAAAAAAAAAAAAAAAAAGTGCAACAACCAGCAGATTAACTTGTAGGGTAGTCCCAGCACCCTGTAAGGCCAGACCACATAAGCAAACCACTTCAGGACTCTCACTCCACAAGCCACTTAATTTGGAGGTGTGGGAGAGAGGAGAGAAGAGAGCAGGGATTGTGGTTACACCTAATTCATATCAACTGGAACAAGATTCACATCAATCTCTGAGACAGCTGCTCACAGTCTTTTACCGCAGCTTGAAATAACAGTGCAAGTTTGCCTTACGAGATGGAGGATGAAGATAAAATGCTAAGCCTAGAAATATATACAGTAATGGGGAGGAGGGCAAGGAAAAAGGAGGAAAAAGAGTGAGCTTCCTAGGAGCACCCCACTATGGAAAAAACCCTCTCCAAGTGCTAGGGGAGAAGTAAAAGAATAAATGTTATAATTGATCTAAAACAATATTTCCTCTCGAAAGGAGAAATTTTTCCAGTCATGATGCACTGATTTTCCTTTAATGTTAACTCACTTGGTTATTCATTGGGGAAAAAAAAATAAATAAAATATGCCTGTCAAACGGCCATACACACACGCAAGTAATATAGCAACTACAATCTGCCCCAAGTCACCACGGCTTCCACAAAAGCCTTTAATATCACTTGGCAAAACATTTGTTGGTTTTGGCCAAAGGACTTCACAAACGCTTCTGTAGGGGTATGGAAAAAAAGCTGATTTCTTTATCCTAATCTGAATCTAAACAGCAAGAGTGACATGCTCTGAACTGGAAGCAGCAGCAATTAATCAGGCTGCCCACATCATTAGCCAGCAATGCCCAGATCTCCACAGAAAGGCACAGGCAGTGACTGAATGCTTGGCCAGAGGTTACTAGGCTGTTGTGGTGCATGTTGTTCTAAATATCACCGCAAACCTTTCTGAGGGCCTTTTTCCACCCTGCAAGGAACAACAGTGCAGGAGAACCACACACAGTTGTACTCTGAGTGGTTTCATACCATTGGGATTGTGAAGTCCTGTCTCAGCGCACAGCACACCATTTTACAGAGCATCAACTGGCTTCCCCTGTTTGTGTGACAATGGCACTGAAAGCCCTTCAGAAGACTTGACCAGCTGCCACACTTGTCGTTTCTTTCTTCCTATCCCTTTATTTTGTTGTTTAACTGACTCAAATGGAAACAGAGTCATGCTTTCCCTGCTTTTAACTAGATGTGGGTTGGCACATCTTTTCAGCACTTCAAGCATTTGTCTTGCCAATCTCACCACACTTCCCTATCTTCCATTAAGATACAGGAATCCTTACTTCTACTAGTAGCAACACCTAGTTACTGTCAGTATTGTTCTGTTAAATATTTACAAGTGCAACAATGGAGCTACTGGCAAAATTAAAACTTCCCATTCTCTTCTGTGTGCCTCAAGCCTGCTTGTACTCTGTCTCCACCTGTATAATTTGGCGAATCAAGCTGCCACACCTCCCTCCATCAGATGAAACAAGCAACTGTACTTAATGCACACAACTGAACAGTAGCCCAAATGCCATGTGTATTCAAAACATCTCTGTATTTCATTTCCTTACAGACTCTTATTTCATGCTGCAGTCCATTATAACTCGCAGAATTAAATTCTGGCATCGTATGCAGCTGGCTTTTTGTTCCATTTTGTTCCCTTAAATAATACTTTGTTACTGTTCTTACATTTACATAAAGTACATAATCTTCTCACATATTCAGAGCAACCTTTCTCAAGAGGCACTGAGATGCACCACATCTCCACCTGGCTTTAACTCTTTGGTTTCTTCATAGCACTGAGAGGTCATCCCTCACTATGCTGTTATGGTTATGCTTGAAAAGCAATCCAATTTGATTTTGCCTACAATAGACTAGGGAGAAAATATGTGGGGTGGAGGACCTAGACAGATATAAACAGAAACAATTAAAACAACAATAGAGCAAAAAGACATGGATCTCACCTTAGGAGTACCACATTGTCTGACAAGAAGGCTCCAACAGTCATATCTGAAATTTTTGTAACATTTAGACAGTTAAAAGGGAGGCACAGAATTCAGTTCCCTCAAGTCAGTTGGTAAATGACAGAGCATGCATTAAAAAAAAATCTATCTTAAATCAGATAGCTTAGCCTTTAAAATATTATTATATCAAATGTGTTATAATTAGCGGATTAGGTCTACGAGGATGCTTCACTTTACTTCATCATTTGTTTATTGTTACTATTATTGTCTATATTTTTGTAAGTTTATTATCATGACTGAGCAGCTTCCAAGCAACTTATAAACTTGGCAGGATACTAAACTTCCTCTGCTTCAAGACCTCAGTCTTCTGTCATGACTGCCCAAACCCCTTGAATCAAGCAATCAGCTCAAATTTTTGAGCCAGGAGCTTGAATAACAGAGGGGAAAAGGAGGAACACACTCAGCTTCATTGTCCTCTCACAGATGTGGGAACCAGCAACCCGGAAATGACCAGCTCTGGTGTTTTCTCAGCGTGTTGCTCCAGCGTTGCTGTCAGAGCAGCACACGTACCTGGGTAGCCATTGCCATCCATATCAACTCCCCCCGATATGGACTGGCCGAACATCCGCAGCATTGGGTTTATTGCTTGCCCAGACAGCTTCTGCAGTGGAAAACACATCAAGTGAAATCATAGGAACACAAAGAAGCCCTGATTAAAAAATAGAAAACTTTGAGCCTAATTTTCATGGTCACCAGGGCTTTCTTCCATGGGCTGGGAGTGCTGCACATCTGCAGGCTCGCGTTTCACCCACGCAGCCCAGAGCAGGAAGGCTGCCGACTTCAGGAAGCCCTTCTGCTCTGGGCTAGGAGGCGGCCAGTGCTGACTTACAACAAAACACACACCTGCTCCACAACTCTCATGCAGACCAAAGCAAAATAAAGAACACATCAAACAGATTTCTTTGCGAGGAGTAAATTTAACCGTGCCCCAGAGATTATTTTTTTTTTCACATTACCTTCTGTCTTGGTTTCAGTTAGAACAGAATTAATTTTCTTCCTAGTAGCTGGTGGAATGCTGTGTTTTGGCTTAGGATGAGAAGAGTGCTGATAACACCCCGATGTTTTAATTGTTGCAGAGCAGTGCTTATACCAAGCCAAGGACATCTCAGCCTTTTGCTCTGTCCTGCCAACAGGCAGGCTGGGGGTGCAGTAAGAGCTGGGAGGGGACAGACCCAGGACAGGTGACCCAAACTAGCCAAAGGGGTATTCCATCCCATCTGGGGTCATGCTAAACAATATATAGGGGTGGCTAGCCGGGGGGAGGGGGCCAAGGAGGAACGTTGCACCCCCATGCTGCGTCTCGAACCCGTGACCTCAGATCTCTTTTCACGTCGCGAGGTCAGGGTTATGCAAGCACCTCAAGCCAGTGAGCCACCGCCGCCTCCTCCAAAGGGCCGGACTGCTCGGGGTTAGGCTGGGCATCGGTCAGCGGGTGGTGAGCAATTGCACTGTGCATCACTTGTTTGTACATACTATTATTACTTACCTATTATCACCATTGTATTATTATTATTATTGTTATTATTATTTTTGTTATTATTATTTTCCTGTCTTATTAAACTGTCTTTATCTCAACTCACGGGCTTCACTTTCCATTTCTCTCCCCCGTCCCAGAGAGGGAGGGGGGAGGGTGAGCGAACGGCTGCGTGGTGTTTAGCTGCCGGCCGGGTTAAACCACGACACCTTCATTTATGGTAATAAAAGATTTCAACAGCATCTTCGCAAAAATAATCATTAAACGAAACAGAAAATTCTGCATTACCATTTCTTTTCACAAAGTTTTCCAGCATACCCAAACTGATTAATTTTCATCCCACTTGGAAATCCTGTTTTTCATCAGCAGTTATGCAGTATTTTGTGTCAGTGTGGAAGCTGTATCTCATTTCTGCCTCCCCAGCACACAGCTACTAGCACCACTTCTTTTTTCTAATTACAAACACAAAAACTTTCTCTAACCAGCTTGAATTGTAAAGGTCTTTGCCTGAAACAAATTACTGTATCAAAACTTTTTCTACGGTGAGCTGATGTCTCTCAGGCCTTATTCATTATGCCGGGCCATCAATGCAAGACTCGAACTCTAACTAGCCTCTGACTGCAGAAGTTGTAGACAGAAGAAACCTATCCCACCAACTAGTTTTGAGGCTGGTAGTGGTGCTACACAGCTTGTGACATATGACCAAGTCTTCCCGGCCCACCCACAAAAGGACACAATATTTGGCAAAAGGTCAGAGGGGAGTCCCATGGAAAAGAAGACAAGGGGAAGAAAGACATCCTGCCATCCTGACAGCCAGTTTAAAGGAATACCAGTCACATACAGATATCCCTTTCCTCCTACGTTTGTGTAGATAAGACAACTGGAGAGCACTTCCTTCCCACATAACATCACGTTTTTGGAGAGTGGGTCCCAGTTAGGGTGGTAAATCCTGCCTGCAAGCAGCCCAGCAGACATCTGCAAGCCATTACAGTCTAGAAGGCAGAGGTATAAAGCTGCTCTGCTTTTAAGTGCCATGAATGGAAACAGCAGGCCATGAAGCCAATTAAGTTGCTTCTGCTCAGAGCCACCACTCAAGCTGCTGTGGCAGTGTAAGGCAGCAACAATGATCAGCAATTTGAATGAAGCAGGGGAAATCTAACAAAATGAAAAGAGCGAAAATGTATACCCTGCAGCCCCCACCACACACCTTTCTTGGCTTATTTAAAAAAGGAAATCCAGGTCATTAAGATGGCTCATGGGTATAGTAATAAGATACAAAAAGTCTTTCACCTCTGGGTTCAAACCCAGGCCAGGTAATGAGCTGAAGCTGTTACACAGCTTTTTTGGGTTGCACGTGGTATATGAATCAGTGGTGCGTCTGTCTTGGGAAATGGCACAAAAGTAGCGCCCCCTCAGCTGCCTGGGGACAGGAGGCAAAGATGGGAACAGTATCACAGTATCCTGCTATGCTCTGGAGCTGGGCTTTGTCCTGCTAGGGCAAGCAGAGAGACATGTGCTGTTTGCTGCCCTTGCTCCTCTGATGGGAAGGAAGAGATAGCAAGCAGGATGTTTCACTTACCACTCTGCTGATCTGGGCTCTTTCAAAAATATTGAATTCCCCCATGAATGACTCCTCCCCCCAAAAAAACAAAACCCTGATCCATTGCAACAAGAGCTGGAAAGCTCCAACCTTTGAACAGCCCAAGAACCTCCCAGCCAGAGGCTCTTGGAAAAAAATGGGCAGGGTCCTCCAAATGCCACAAATTAGTGCATTTTAGAAGTATCCATGAAGAGTCATTTAACTTCATTTTTTAAAAAGCAGTGCATGGCATATACATGCTAAAAGGAAGATGGACTGAACTTCTATGGTTTGTTAGAAGAGCCTCCAATATAACCACTAAACTCTTTTAATCCTGCTTAAACTGGTTTACTGTGAAAGATCCCACCCAGAAACAAAACAAAACAGCCAGAACTTCAAACACACGGAGGGAGGTAGGGAAGATTCAGGCTCTGCAAAAAATAAATGTGCTAGACAGAGACTAGGGGACACATGTTGGGCAGCATCGGCATCAATTTATCTTCTCTCCTGCCTGGCTACAGTAGCTGAATTGCACAGTTTCATCTCTGCACAAGACTCTGTAGCATACCCCAGCCTAGTTTTTACTTCATAACAGAGGTCAGGGAGTGGTACCCAATCATTGTGATATATGTGTGGAACATCATTGTGATGTATTCTCACATCAGAAGTAGAAGGCTAAGAAGCTGTGGGGAGAACAAAAGTAAACTTAAGTTCCTCTTCCTTCTTGCTAAGTCTGCTTTGGTGGGAAGAGAGAGCAACCTCCCAGTTCTCCCTGGCCTTTCCATGACCTATATATGCTCAGCCTCTGCAGAGTTTGTCTTCTGCCGTACTACTACTCTCCCTAAAAATTGACATTCAAATCCCAAGATTTCATTTTCTTCAATAAGGAAGCTACAGCTAAGGACTGTAGTAAAATAAAGTGATACATAGAAGAAATATAGAAATAAAAGAAAGTATCCCCTGATTAACACAATTTTACCTTACAGCATAAGTAAGGGCAAAATGGGAGATGCCATCTTCAAATCAGGACCAAGAAAGGGATGTAGAGCTTGAATTGCATAAGACTACCCATAAAGGGATCCCCAAACATGTTTTGCTTTTTCTGCAGGTCCCAGGAAAGAGCCTTCAGATATCATAAAAGACAGTGTCACGTACCATAGAGTACTTGGGTACAATACCATTGGCATCTCCATGATAAATATAAACCGCTCCTATGTAGTTATCCTCCTTAGGCGCCCCAATGGCAACATCTGTAAAACAGGACAGATGATAAACATTTCACAATCCATTCTGTTAACCCTGCTTCTTCCTGGTTTTAGAAGCTAGATCTCCACAGGAAAACAACTCCCTGTGAAGATGATCAGCAGCTTGTGTCAGCCTGGCTAGAAAAACTTGACTGATTTAATGAAGAGCTCACATTAAAATAAATTTAAAAAATACACACATGTATGTGAATTTGTACATGCATGTGGCTGTGTGTTGTGCCCAATCAGAAACACGTGTTTGTTTCAAAAACATGTGTTTACTAACCAGTAGTCATGCTCAAAAAGTTAAAATAGAATCCTTTCATATCAAAATATCCCATCAAAACCTAGGGGAACATCAGCTTTATGAACTAAGACGGCACTGGCAAAACATTTGTTGTAGTAATACATTAAGTTTGCTTTAAAACCCAAGCCTCCAAAATGAGACTGGGTGCATTATAAGGATAGGCAGAGACAAAAAAAGTGCTGCCAAGGGTGCACTTGGAAATTACATTTGATCCAATTTAACAGCAGAGTGATCCTACCCTTCACTCGCTTCTGCTGCTTGTATCTAGTGATTGCATAGCTGCTAAAATTAAATTCTTCCTCATGGCATCTTAGCCACAGATTGATCCAACTCAGTCTGCAGCCCCTCCATCAACACGGCTGACCCACAAGCAGCAGCAAAGAACGTGCAAATGCACGGACAGGTGCAGAGGGAGACTATTCCTACAACTTGTGATGACAACCTGGAGTAAAGTCAGGTTAAGCTAAATGTGCTATCATGCCCTGAGTAGCCTGGAAGAAAAAAAATCCAGGGGCACAAACAGCAAGTCAGCCTTTGGTCAGAAGTTCTTAATCTGTCCTGCCGGACGTCAGGTACCAGCACCAACACTTTGCTCTCATCTATTCTTACCACAGCATCAGGTCTCATACTGAGCAGCCCTTGAAAGGTGCAAGGGTTAAATAAAGCAGGAGAGAGTTCATTAGTAGAGTTCACTGTATCAGGAGTGAGAAGCTGCTTCTTAATTTCATTTCATGATAAGAAGCATCACTATGCCAATAAAACTGGAAAGGTTCGAAGGCATAACTGGGAAAAAAAATAAAAAGACAGGTTTCTGTGCTGTTTGGGGATTGGGTATCTGAAACCTTTTATAAACCAAACAAAAAGTGAAACAAGGAAGGCAAACTGAACTTAATGAGATTGGGGTGCGAGCTGCACGGACATCAACTAAACCACAGCATGTAGGACCTAGGACCACCTGTCAAAAGTTTTAGATGACAAATCCCATGCAGGCCTGTTGTCCTCAGCATGAGCCCAGGGAGGAGACAGGCAGCACTGACAGCCCCACTGACATCTTCAAGGAAAATGCACTGACCTGGGAACCCATCATCATCGATATCGCCGAGGGCAGCCATGCTCTCCCCAAAGTGCGCGTTGTAGGCACCATCACCATCCAGAACAAGCTGCTCATCCAGCACTCCCTAGCAAAGAGGAAATAAACCAGGCTCAGGGGAACAATGCTGCAGGAAGCACCAGGGTAGAACAGTGGAATGACCATCACCCTCACTGCCAAGGCATCCCCCCACCAACAGAGATCAGCTGTGTGCCATAAATCGAAAGGGTTTAACAATAAAACCAACACAGTTGACTGCAACAGGAGCCAATAGGTCTCCCTGGCACACTCCATGGCCACAGGTGGCATTGCCAACATCAGAACCTAGGTACCACTAGCCTGGTGAGCCAGGGACCTAAAGGTCCCCAGCTCTGGCTGAACAGGTGAGCAGACACTGCCTGAGGATGACAACATCAAGGTAAAAGAATCCACTTAAAGAGGAATTCAGCCTTTCTCTTTCAAAGATCCTTTATTGTTCAGTTAAAGCTGAGCACTTTTAATTTTAACTGAACAGTAGCACCTTGTAGGGGCTGGTAGGAACAAGTTTAATGATGATACTAATTTCTATTTTTAAATCTTCTTATGTTGTTAACAACAAAAAAAAAGGGGGGGGGGGGATGCTAAATTAGCTAAACGATAACTCAGTGATACAACTACATGCAGTCATGGGGCTCGGTGAGCTCATGAAGGTTTCCAGACACCTAAAATGTAACAGCTCAGAGCTTGCTCTGCTGGCAGATTACATCTGAGAAGTGAAATTCTCAGTCCAGACTTACTCAGCTAAACCCCAGTGAATTAAAGAGAATTCTGTTTTAAGAAGCAAACATTTGGGCAACTGGATTTTAAAACTTTTTATGTATTGGACAGAAGGATTAAAGCAAACTACCCAAAAAGCCTTCTGAAATGAAGAATAAGGAAAGAGCTTTAATGAAATAAAGAGACAGAGGAAAGTTCAGAATAAAGTAGCTTTGTACTCATATGCCATGAGAAGCCTTATATGGATTTGGTATTTCTTGCCCACCCACTTTCTGGTCAGATACATAAGCTTCAGTTTCTTGCAGTCTTCCCTCGAGGGGAAAGGAACATTTCCACAAGAAAACAAAATATTGTTATGCAATCCAACTTTGTACCCACCTCAAGGGTTGTTTTTCTTTGTTTTGCATCCTTTGTGAATGAGGGTAAACTGCCCTCTGGAACATGTAATAAAATCTTTTTCTTGGCTGCAGGGAGTTGCTGACTTTAAGAAAATCCCACATAATGAAATTGAAACACAACAGAGAGGAGACAGGCAGGCCTGTATGTGCAACTCATTTCCCTGCATTCCTCTTAAGAAAGAGAAAAATATAAGTGTATCATACCTAGCATCACTATAATGTAGTTTTTTCTGATCCACTGCAATAACCTCTTGAGCACTGGTGCTTGTAGAATGAAACTGCAAGCTTTAAATGACCATACCCCAAAGAGAAAGCCACCAATCCTGCAAGCCACTGCTGCTTCAAGTAATCCTTGCTGCAGGAGTTTAATTATTTAACTTCATCATTTTATAGAAGATAAAAATCATATATATGATTTCATATATACGATCATGTATATGATATATATGATTCATATATAATCATATATGATCACATATGATTTCATATATACCATCATATATAATCATATACATGATGGTATATATGAAATCATATATACTCTCACTGTAAGCATGAAATATTAGGTATTGTCTGCTTAGAATTCTGGATGTATTCTGATGACTCTGCAGCCACACTGCAGTATAAGAAGTTGGGCAACCTGTGATCAAGCTGAAAAAATAAAGCCCATTTAAAGGAGGAGCAATAACTGAAGATAAAAATACAACAAAACTAATTCTGAAGTCTCTCAAATGCTGCCTATAGGACTCACAATGGGTGTTATATCTAACATAAACAAACTCCATGTATTAAAGTTCTCAAAGTTCTGATTAATTATATCAATTTAGTCAGTAACAACTCCCCCTTTGAGACAGCAGGGTTTGGATCTGAATATTAAATGTGCAATAATTAGTAAACAATTATTTTTTTCCTATAAATAGGATATAATAATGGTCTTGCTTTGGTAATGGAAGAAAGGTCAGACTTTTCCAAGACTGTTGGATCGTGAGAAATCCAACAGTATCAGCTGATAAGAATTTCCCACCAGTGGATATATATGAGCCATAACGTAAAGGTAACATGAATGTAGTCTCTGCTTTCCCTGCAAAAAGACTCCTAAATCCCTACACATTTTTGTTCTGATTTGTAGGTCCCAATGACCCCCCAAAACACAAAAGGAAAACTCAGTCAAAGCTGCTGACTTTTACTTGGTTTTGGCATGTAAAGCCACAAATACCACGAAGTTTCAATATGAAACCAGAAACTTTCCCAGACCTCCTTGAAAGATTCACAGCTCTGTGATGAATGTGGGTTGGTGTCTGGGAAACCATGATACCAGATGAGCTTTTCGTGACTGCATGCTCTGTCGGAGACATCCAGGGCCCCACTGTTTGAGACATTAAGTTTCACCATGCAACGCTGGAGGGGACATCGGCGTTACCCTGCCCAGACCCACACCCTCATCCCTTACCAAGTCATCTCCTGGATATACTCACATTTCCTCTGTTGATATAGACTGTGACTTGACCCTCATCTCTGATCTCAGAAAACATAGGTGCTCCGACCAGCAGGTCTGACAGCCCGTCAGAGTTCAGATCAACTGCACATAAGGAGGAGCCAAAGTAAGAGCCCATCTGTAACCAAGCCGAGTCACAACAAAGCATTCAGTATCTGCCCACACACAGGAGGAAATCATTTAGGCGTGCTTTTTTTTTTTTTTTTTTTTTTTTTTAATTTAAAATGATGACTTGCTGCTTTATCACTCACAAGTTCTCCTACAGAAAAAGTTTAGGGGATAATTCAGGCAAGAATTAAACGTTTTACTCTAACAGTGCATGAGCTTGGATGCCTTATCAGAAGAATAAAATCTATACCCTGGCACATGCTTAAGTGAGACACCTAGGCTTTCCTAGACTAACTTTCAGTTGTCAAATGCTTAACACCAGGAAGGGGGTGAAATAAGTTTCCCAAACCGAGACCTTGCTGGTGATTATTCATGCCCATATTCATTCCTAAAGAGACCTGAACTTATATACCAGAGATCTTCTGGCAATGCCTAAAAGAAACAAACAAAAAAAAAAGGGGGTGGGGGTGGGGGTGGGGGTGGGGAGAGAGAAAGGAGCATCCATTAAAAGAGGCATTTGAAATTACCCCTCATTTGTGGAATATTTTCACATGTTCTATTTGTATCAGTCACCTTTAATTAACAGCACTGGTTGTGAGTTTTGTTAGTAACCTTTCCTCTCACATACAAAAAAAACTTTTCAGTTGACACAGAAAAAAAACTAAGCCACTTCCATCTCCGATTATTATTGCTTGACAAAACTAAATTGCTTAAATTTAAGAAATTCATTACATCATTTTTATACAGGTGAATATGAAATACTAACAATCTCCCAACCAGCATCCATATTATGAATTTAAAAACACATTTAAACACAAAAAAGAAGCCAAAAGCAAGAATGATATTCTGCTCTTATTTCATCCACTTCTGCTAAGGTACCACAAGGCATACTCTTTGAGACCAGTTAAAAACCATAGTCTCAAAACTAAAAGTAACTTCTAAAAGAAAAATTAAAAGACAGCTCTTCATATTTGAACTTGAGAGCTGTTTACATAACAGGAAAAATTGAGGTTACACAAGTAATTATTTAGGTTAAAAAGAATGAATCACACTTCTTGCATGTTTTCACATTCCTGTTTGTGGATCCCTGCACCACAGCCTTCCATGTCCAATAGCTCCAAACATGTGAGCCAGAACTACCGGGCACAACAGGAGATGGGCAGCAGCAGCTTCACTCTTTAGAGTCTTAAAAGATTTAAAAGCTGCTAAATCTATACAGTGGGGTGAGTTAAGGATAGAGTTTCAGTTTGTAACTCAGATTTTTGTGCTTGTGTGGGTTTAAGGTCAGACCTCGAGTATCATTTGATTCCAGTTAGTTTGTAGTTTAGGTTCCCTTGTGGATTTTTTATTTGTTTATTTTTTTAATCCACTAAGGTTTTAAAACAAATTTCTCATGGGTAAGGAGTGAAAGTTATGAAAAGCATTTCACTGTGTATTCAGGCAGTTTTCAGGGGAAGGCTATTATTTACTTAACTGCAATGTGGTATGTCTGCAGTGTGGGTGAGTTCATGGTGCTGTGAGAACCTGACAGTTGGGCACTTAACATTTGTAATGAGCCACCACGTTTTCTTTTTTCATCTCTGCATCTGATTTCCCTGTTCGGCCTCCACAGAATAAAAAAAAAAAAAAAAAAAAAGGAAGGAAGGAAGAAACTGCCCACTAATGTCTGTCTAACAGGAATGTTTGAGCAATGAACCTTTCACACCACTGGGAAGGACACAGCATTTGCTGAGAGCTCATTTCCAAGCATTGCTCATTGCTGAGCATGTCTGGTTATATTTCAGTCACAAAACAGAAAAGCTGTGATTTAGGATAGGTTTCTTTTAAAATACAATCCTCATTCAGATTTTACAGAATTTGTATAAAGCATACTACTGAGAAAGAAGGTGATGACAGCCTAGAAGTACTTGAAGGATGTAAATACTTGATTAGTTAAGTTTCATATAGGAATAATGTGATTACATTGAAAAATGAAAGTTTTTGGCTAGGACCTGGAAACTTCCTGATAGCTCTATTTATTAGGTTGAGGAATACTTCTCCAGGAGCACATCCTTAGGGGCAATTAAAAGTCAACAGGGAAAAAAATGAACAGGAAACAATCAAACACAGGAGGTGCCCCAGATGAACTGGGAGGGCTTTTCCTTTCAAGATGTTGGCAACTCTGCTACAGCGCAGAGAAAGACATTTTGCAGAGACTCCTGAACACAAGTCACAGCATCTACCCACACATCCTTGCAGTTTTTACGTATTCCAGGCATGTTTTTAAAGATGACAACAGTGGTATTGTTTTTTTGGGGGGGAACATGCTAATATACTACCCACTTAATAATACAATCAAATGCTCAGATCCTTCTGAGGATGGCAGATCTCTCTAGAGCCAGATGCTTTTGAGAGCCAGTGACCTTTTTCTTCTGCATTTCCTCTCATCCCAGGAGAAAACAGGCAACCCCAGGTAAACAGTGTTGTGTCCTCAGGGTGTTATTCCCAAATAAACCTTTGTTTGTTTGTTTTTATCTACACCTAGACATACTGTCCACTTCATTCTTCATGTGACACATCACCAGCAAGCCCCCAGTGAAGAATGTAAGCCGTTCCCCACTCAAACACAACATTGCATGGGGGAGTTGTATCTCACCAGCATTCACTACATTTTTGGGCAGGAGGCAGGGTTCAGTTCTAAGGCAGCAATCATAACAGAAATACTCAGGACTGATTCATGACAGGAAGAGGAAAATCATCCTCTCCTGAGGCACAAAAGCTGCTCCTCCACAAAACAGCATAACTTTCATGTCCCTGCCTTATCACAGCAGGGTAGAAAAAAACAGAGAGGGGCTTTGTGTAATAAACCAAGCTCCAGGCTACCCAGAGCCACTAGTAACATCTACTCAGAGGAAATGTCTCTGTCTGGGCTCTGCCACATCTCAGAAGGCAACAGCAGAAGCTGCTGCTACATTTGTGTAAGGCTAGTCAGAACCAGCAGTACAATTTTCAGCAAAACCCTTAATTTCATTGGGGCATTGAGCAGAGATTGAAGTCGCCACCATTGCAAGACAAAGGGAATACAGGTGGTCTGTACAATAGGTTGGTTTACATCTTCAGGAAAGATGAGGAAAAACAGCCTTTGATCAAAAATTCACAAAGCAGTAGATCGAAAGTGATGCTCTGAGACAAACCTACCTTTATTTCCCCTCCCTCCACCCTCAGATGAAAACATATAAACATAAAATCTCACCTTTTTTCCTGATGCCTGAAAAATCTTCACCAAAGACCCTGATCGCCTATCTGTTCTGAAAATATAAACCTGAAAAGTGAAAAAAGAAAAAGGTTAACCAATAGTAACTACGAAGCACATAAAGGCACAGCATTGGTGCTTTCTCCATGTATCTGCATCATGATTGTGGCCATGGCTATTGCCAAGATACAACTTCAAGACAGTTTATTGCTCAGTCTTCTTTTAAAAGACAAAGCATGTACTTCCCCACTTTCCTGATGAATCGCAGACCTCCTGTCACAAGAGATGCTTGAACAGTATTTTGTCACCTACTTTTTTGTATGTGAGCATGTGCTGAGTACTTACAAGCAACCCATAAAGGAACTCTCCAGCTCTCAAACAACAGGCATTTGGAGAATGCCAGGAAATGAGCAGGGCAAAGGGCTGAGAAGGCACAACGCTGCTTCCCTTCCCCTACCCAGCCTTCCCTTCTCAGGGACGCATGCCTGCATGTACAGCACTGCAAACTTCATAATGGTTTAGCATTTAGAGTAGAAGTCCCGATCAGATCACTCAAGGCATTTGCACTGTTTCTTCTGAAATGATCTGTAAATACATAGCCATTCAAACTCGGTCCACTTGTTGCTCATTTCCATAGGAGAAACTGCTTAACCAGGAACTCCTGGGGATAAAAACATTGATAGAAGTCCAGTAACAGATCTTGTACCAAAATTTAAGACCTAAAGCACGTTGCTTGTAGGAAGGGACTCCCTTTGGCAGAAGGGCTGGCTCAGTCAGCGTTTTTTGAGACTCTTCCAGCATTTGACAGGCTTCTTCCCAGCAGGTCTTCATGCTGTTTGTGGGACGAAGGATCCTAATTTTCCAAGGCCATGTGGCTGAGCCAAGCACTTGACATGGCTGAATATGTGGAGAGTTATTAATAGGTGGTGAGACAGACTTCAAAGCCACTATCAGCCGAGAACACAGCATGTATTCACCGTGGATTGTTGCTGTAGATATAAAGGACTCCCCAGTTTTTGCAGCAGCCTGTTTAGCAGCGAGTGCATGTTGCCAGGTGTCATGACTCCAAACCCAGCTTTACTAAGGACACTCCTGGTGCCATTTGGGAAATGACTCGGTCTTGTTAAGTTTCTTGGCTTTCTCCTCAATGGAAAGGGTGTGAGAACAGTAATCACTTTCTCTTGGGGAAGTGGTAAGGATTAACTTATTAGAGAGTGTGGAAAGCACAACAGGACTGCTCAGCATTATGTCCAGCGTTCAACACCTCTTACCGCCCCCATTGCCATGCACTCCTGCTACCCACATTCCATGCCAAGTGAGAATAACAGGAGCTTTTGCAACTAGAGCAACAGTCTTTAACCTACAGAGCCAGCTGCTTCCTCATGGATCTCACATTAGCAGCTGCATTTTTTTTTCTCCTTCCTTGTAGAGAATTTAAATCTGTTCCACTGAGAAAACGGGTTGGAAGGAAAATGCACTGGAGCAACCATAACAGAGCACCTGGGATAAGGAAACTATCTTGTGCACGTCTTCTCAGTAGCAACTGTGCTGCTGCTATATCCCTTATGTCCTAGTTATGCCAGACCAGGTGTACATACCAAGTTCATCCTCTACTTTTATTCCATTATCCCCATTTACTCTGCTGCCCCCAGCAACTGCAAGGACACAATCTGTCTAAAACAAAGGACAGCGTTCTTGCTAATGGAGACCTTTCACTCCTTATTATTAGGACTCCACTACAACTGAGCAGTAGAGAGAAGAAGGTGGAAGGACCAGATGTGTCTGCTGGAGCAACTGGTGACAGTAGGCCCCAAAATGATTTGAAAGGAAGAGTGGTAAAAGCAAATCCTTCACATCCCTTCCCTCCTTCTCCCTAGTCCTGCTCCTCCACTTTTGATTCAGAAGCATAGAGCGGTCCCAGTGCATACACCATCACCCTGCTACCAACAGCAGCTGGATATCCTACAGAGAAACTACAGGCACACCTAATGCATCAGCTACCTCCATCCAGCCATTCACAGGCTTACACCCTTGGGATTGTACATACATATACCTACAGGAAAACCTTTGGGTTTATGTCTTCTGAAGAGCTTGTCGCCAAGATTTCTGAGCACAGCTGTCAGAAATCCAGATGTTAACCTATTAAATGCTAATGTATTGTAACATGTTTTAAGAGAGACATCAATAAGGCTACTAAATTTCATGCTATTAGAAGTGCTACCCTGAAGCAAGTAGGGATACAGTCTACATGGAAAGCATTGTCAAATGTCTGAAGAAAACAAGTAGAGGACTAATCCTCTTTTCCAATTTTTCTCATTTCTACACAAGGTATGTCTGTACGTTTTTACACAAGGCCATGCCTGTACATTAGAAATCCTGAACAGAAGTGGTGTGAAAGAAATGTTGCCACTGTCTTGTTAAAATAACCATTTAAAGGATTGGGTGGGAGAGAGAGGAAAGAGAGGAAGGAGGGATGTCAAACACCAGAAGAGACAGGTGGAGAAAATTTGATGACTTCATCAAACTACCTCACCTCTCCCCTGCACAGTGCTCCAAAACTACTCTGTAGGCAAAAATCTCTTGGCTTGTCACACATGTGGGAACTGCATCAATACTACTTTCCTTGCCCAGTTGCATCCGACCACATTATTGTTTGACAAAAAGCCGCACCTTTCCGATGCCTCCATCCTGGGGAGCTCCTCCCACGACGTCCGTGGAAGTCGGCTGAGAGAAATGACCTGCTGTCACCGCGTATCCTGAGCAGGAGATGGGATGGGGTGGGAGAGAAGAGAGGAAAAATAAATAAATAGATAAATAAGGACAAAAGGAAAGAGCCTGAGAAACAGGTCAGCCATCTGGAGCATGCTCATCGGGTTTCATGGCTCCTCTTAGACTGCGCGTTGTTAGTGTTATGCAACCATTTTGTCCAGGATGCACCAATATTCACTCAGTTCCAGAGCACGAGGCTTCAGGAAATGGCAGTACAACCTCTGGTACACTTCCAAAAGTGGAGAGAAAAAAGGTGTGTGTGTCAGCAGGGAACATGCAGGGGGGCACATAAAACAGTTACAGGGAACAGTTCGGTAACCCCGAGTCCCTAAAGGGAGGTGGTAAAACAGAAGCATATAAACAGAGACAAACAGAACAAGGAGAGCACATCATTGCAGAGAAGTATCACATCAAAGAGCAACAGTCCCACATCGGCTGGACACAAGTCTCCTCCTTTGGCTGAAATCACTGCCCAGGAAAACTGGGGAAATTACATGCCTTTTTTTTTTTTTTTGGGGGGGGGGGGGGGAGGGAAATGGAGGAGAGTAGACAAAAGGGTCAGAAAAGTTAATGGCTTAAAAAGATTTTTGTTTACACAAGAATAAAGAGGGGAGGATAGATCAAAGAAAGAGTGTATTTGACAGAAGGAGATCAAAGAATTGATCTTATTTGTTATATTAAAATGATATATATATAATAACTAGAGAAGAGTACATAGAGCAGAGTACTTTCCTTCTAAGGCTGTCTTGCATTTGACTTGGCTTTTCTGTTGTAAATTATGAGGCTCTTGTCTACATGGTAATCACTATATTTCAGGTCTATCAGTGGCAAAATCTATGTATGTCCTTAAATATTAATAATATGTCCTTAAAAGCACTCCTCATTTAGCTATCTCCAAGCAGCATCTCCCAAGTGGTATTTTTTTAAAAGACTAAAGGTTAAAGGGAAGAAGACAGGTCAGTGCAAGTCTTTAGTCAAACAATATCAAACCACTGATTGTTTGAAATGCTTTCTAAGTCTTGAGCACTAGGGATTTGGTGGAAGCCTTTAAACTAATTATGCTTGGGACATTAGCTAGTTTTAGAGCAAGTAAAACCAATGGAGTTAACATTAAGGATTACTCAAACCATCCTTCTCAAGCCAATTATTTCATAGCCTTCTGCTGCTGCCAATGAGTCACTTACGTGGCAATATTTTTGTTCAAACAAATTAGTCTCTGCAATACACCTTCTGTAATTATGTATTGTATCCATTTTACAGTAGAAACACAGCCTAACTGATACGCATAGCTTTTCCATCACAATGTAAAAAGACAAATGTAGGAGGCCCACTACCAACCTGCTTCTCAGTCCAAATGCACTTTCCATATTACTCAAAAAATTACTCAGAAAAAAGGCTGGTTGTTTTTTGTTGCTGTTGTTCATTTGCTAGTTTTTCAAAAAGGGGCCTAGTCTGGCTGTTTCCTTGCTTACATTTGTTTCCAAGTAGGTAACCCTTTAATTCAGGTACTCTTCACACTTTTCATAAACATACTCTACACCATCAAAAAATCAACATCAACTTTACAGCATCAAAGCCCTGAAACATGTTGTTCAACTCAACCTTTCTCACAGAAAGCACCACAGAGCTACTTACCAAGGTAGGTGTAACGCCTGGCTATTACAGCATCATCATTCAGTTTGTAATACATGTTGTCAGTGAGATTCAGCACTTTGACTGTTCCTGTCCAGTAATAAGATCCTGGTGCCCCCATGATGACCAGCTCCTACAACAGGAAAAACAGCAGGGTGAGGAAAGGATGGGGAAACAGTAAGTAATAATCAAACCTGGACAACAATTCATTCCTTATGAAATAATGAGAAAAGGACAGGATATTAACTTAAAACACCATTTATAAGCCCATCTATAAGAACCTCCATTCTGTGTTCATGTAGAATCTCTTTCTTCCCAAGCACAAAGGTCACTATACATATCCTAGAAATTCTTGATCTCCCTTTCTATGGCCCGCTTTTGCTCAGCTGTTCTGCAACTTCAATAAAAGACACTCCTCAACCTTACTAGCCATAAAATTTTCCCTGCTAACACACAAAAAATGCTTCTCTACCTGCTGCCTTTCCCAGCTACCCTCAAGAAGACCCAAAGACAGCAAGCCAAGTGTGCACATTTAAAGAACTGAACATCTTGCTTTGCTGTCTTCAAAAATGCTCCACTCTTTCAGAGCAAACCTGGCTATATTTAATCACAGACACACAGAGCAATTCAGGATTTTGAAAGACTGGAAATCAAAAAAAAAAAAAAGATGCTTTTTTAACATGTCAACTGAGATCGCCCAGATCCAACATCCAAATATAGATGCTCATGGAGAATGCTTTCAAATCAAAATCAAATGTACATTGGCACACCTGTACAATAAAATTCCCATTATTCCCATGAGTAGGGGATGCAAGAAAGTCATAAGCAAGGCTGGAAGAGGTGCAACAATGACATTGCAGAAATTTTAAACGGTAGCCATGGTGGCAAAGGTAAGGAGAGGAAAGTAGAGTGAGTTTCAAGTTGAATCCTACATCCTGAAGTTACTGGCTGAACTCCAAGCATTGCTGAAAAAATTCAGAGCAACACTTGATGCTTCGGCTGTGCTGGACCAGGGAAAGAGGAAGCAGGAGTTTTTATCAGCCTACTGTAAGAACCAGCCATCTCTAAAGTAAATTAATTGGGCAAAAATAGTGCTTCCAGTTGAACATCCTCTCTAAAGTGACTTTTTCTATGTCCTGAGTATACCTCAAAACCTGCTCCCAAATATCTACCATGGAGATACCCTGGTTCTCTAGAAGGTTTGGTTCTACCCTCAACTGTACTTCTCGTATTACAACTGCATTCAACCCTCAGAGCTCTTTCCCATTGAAGGAGACCATGTAAAACATTAATAGTCTTTGTTTTGTTTTGTTTGTTTGTTTGTTTTTTAAAAGTTTTCTTTTCTTCAAACACTTGGAAAACAATGTAAATTCATGTTATCAAGTGCCAGGCTGTAACAAGTAAAAATGTCTGTGTTTTGCTGGTTATTCATAAGAGGACAATAAACAAGAGGGAAACCCTTTCTTTTTCTTTTCCCAGTTCCAAACTGGTGAGAAAAACTTCTTGCTGTTTTTCACACATGGAGACCTAAACATGCACATGAACCCAATTCCAGGATTTTCTTTGCTATTTTTGTCATGATTTAAGCAGAACTTGAATAGGTATTTTTCAGATTTGCTTTTGTTTATGGAACATCACCTGCTCATTTGCTGCTGGCAAAATGGCAAACTTTTTTTCATTTTCTAGGATGAAGCATTAGCACAAAACACCTGCATGTGACACAGTAAAGACATGAACTGATTTGAAACTGCTCATGGCATTTTTTAACCATGCTTTGGTCAGAGGGAAACCTGTTGCTTATAGGGGTAGGACACAACTATTTTTGTTTCAGTGAATTACAACTTCACTCCAAAAAATAAAGACATTATTGACAACCAAATAATTTTATTTAGGGAAAAAAATAAAATAAAGGAGATGAAGATGCAGCATGTGTTCATGATCCAAAGCTTCCAGCATCCTCACAGCAAACCTTTGCTTTTGGAAAGCAGCAGATGTGGGTTTAAATAACCCCAGCAGAGGATTTAGTGAAGCCTGGAGAACATTAAGCCTAGGTAAGTTCTCCAGCCACAGAGAAGACAGAAAACAGTTATTTTGCCTCACCACTCCTTTCAGCGCAAGCCTTGGGTGGACTCCGTCCTTGTGGGAAATCACTCCCATACTACAGACCCCTTGGGGTGAGCGGCTGCAGTAGCAGGGACTTTAAACAAGCAAATTTCCTAATAAACCTAGAGGGACAGGACTGCACACACAGACAAAGTATGGGATGTGCTCAGCCACAGCTTTTTTCCTTGGAAGCTGCCGTGCCCCTGAGGTCAAGGGATCGTTTACCAGCAGGAACAACGACCATCAGCAGCACTGAAAATATGGTAGGGGCTTGCCTGTTTGACCCAAAAAGCCATTTATCTGCGTTTCCTGCTCAGTCTGGTAGTGCTGGAGCTGCCACTGGGCCCGAAGCAATGGAAGTTCAAAGCTATCTTTTGAATTAGGTGAGCAAAGAAGGATTTAAAGCATGGGAACAGACACAGGCTGGAGAGAGCAGGGAAGCCAGGAAACAGATGCTGCCAATGATGCATCAAGTTATCGGGCAGTGCCACTGTGGCAACAGTGCCTGACTGCCATTCCTGTTTACTTGGACATCAGCTCCTGACAGTGCAGAGGGGACATCATTTCTGTGTTTGTATCAGCCTGGACAACAAGGTCTGCAGCCCAGCACATCTGTATTTAGGACTAAGCATATACTGGACATGACAGCAAGGAGCCTGACACTGCACTGAACTAGTTGTGTGTTTTGGGGGGCTTTTATTGGCTTTGTTTTTTAGATCTTGAAGCATTAAAAAAAATCCAGTAGATACATCAGGGAACAAAGTCATCTTTGCCTCAACTAAAACATGGTTGATAAACTGCTGTACAGCAAAGAATATGGTCCAGTATTCATACCAGCTCTCTATGCTATTTTTTTCCACCTTTTCGAAATGAAGAACTGAAACGGAACTGAAAAAAAATGTGTTTCTTATCTTATTCTGAATATATGTGTATATATATGTGTGTGTGTGTTTGTGCAAATTTATGTATTTATATATTCACATACACATAATTAAACAAACTCATTCAGGGAAAAATGGTTTAGATCACTGCAGAAAGAAAAAAAATAGCATTAGACACAGAGATATCTCTGCTTACAAACCCCATCCCCACCACACCACCTCTGCTCACCTCGGTGAAGAAGCCCGCGATCCCCGCCTGGCATGAACCGTGCTCCTCCCCGTACTTCTTCTTGTACTCTGGGTGGGAGAAGGGAAGAAAACAAACCACAGTCACTTCTGGCTTGTGCTGGCAACAAGTATACCACCCCTACCACCACCATGCAGTGGGCATTTCACACCCAAGAGGTCTGCATCCCCCTACACACAGCCTGGAGGCTGCCAGGGTAGGATGGGGGACCCTGAAAGCATTTCTGGTGGAGGGATGCTTTGGGACACCATCCCTAGGAAAGAGGTGTGGAGGAAGAAGAGGGCACCACTTTTAATCAACTGTCTGCTCATCTCATCTGGAGGATGCTCAGCTCCACTGCTCTCAGCCACATGCTCACAGCTCCCAGATCACAGGGCTCCCAGTCCCCAGCAAAGGAGCTTTCGTCTGTGTTTTATGAAGCAATTTTTTCCCTGTCAAACCTGAGGAATTTTTACTTTAGCCTTCAGTAGAAAACGGAAGGGGAAAAAAAACAAAAAACAAACAAAAACCCACTTTCCTTATAAAAACAAACAAACAAACAAAAACAAACAGTAAATTCAAGGGATGGTGTGGGGAGAAATCACTTTCCACTTAGAAGCTTTTTTCCTGACCATTACTGTCAAATATTTACCATAATAATGAGTGAATAATGACTACACAGCTTCTGCACATTGCCACTTCCTGTGTTACAGTAGGATTCCAAAGGATAAAAAAAAAGTCCAGGAGAAAGAGTAATTCAGGCTCCAAAAACAGTCTCCAAATAGCTCAGTAACTTTTTTTTTTGTTGTTCTTTTCTCTTCTTCTTTGAAGCAAGCATCATTAACTCATTGCTAAATGATTAAAAAAAGAAAAAGTAATGTAATCGGTGGCCTCTTTGGAACCAAAAGAAACTCCTCATAAACTTAATTTTATCATAGTGAAGACCAAAAGGAATTAGCAGCAGCAGCCGTGCCCCTACACACCCGGCTTCCCAGTGGGAATGTGCAGCAGCACACCCACAGAGCAGTGAAACCAGTATTCACCAGGCCTTCTCTTGGCTGTTTACAGGCAGCACCAGGGCTCTGAATCTCTAGGTTTTCACAGATAGTGGCTCACTGAGTCAGGCTCTCCTCGCTTGGAAAAAAATCCTTGTTTGTAGACATGAGCACTTTTTATTCAGCAAGCTGAGGAGATGAGGTTTCTCCCTCTGGCATTTCCTGAGAAATAATGCCGTGTGTGTCCCAAAGGGCCCTACTTTTCCAGTGGTTGCATTTCCAGCCTTGCATGGGATGTACTGCCACAAATTCCACATTTGCCCAACTGAGGCGCTTTCACCTCCAACCACAATTTTTTTCTTACACCCAATGTACCAAGGCATAAACAGATCCTGCCTCTTCCCAATTCCACACTCAGCCTGTGGTATCTCCCAGGTTCTGGTAATCCAAAATCACCCCACAGCGAGCATCCCCTTACATGGGTTGGCAAGAGGCCTTCCAGCCCCAGAGTGCAAGGCCACAACCAGCTGCTGCAGCTGGGCCTCGCTGACTATTTGATGGATTTAAAATTGTATATTTCCCTACAAAAAAGGGTATTAGGCTTGGCTCACAGTTTCTTTAAGTGTCTCCTTCAAAAAAAAAAAATCCACACAGTTCAATTTGCTTTAAAATAAAAGGGGAAAATTGCCATAGGACATTTAACTAATGTAGTGAAAGATTTAGGTCAGAAAAATAATGAAATAATCAATCACCTGGAATCCTTCAGCACAGGTTGAATGGCAAATAAAATGTACTTCTTACTTGTGGTTTTTAAAATTTCTCCTTCTATCCTTCTATAAATAGGTTTTACAACACTTTTTCCCACAAACAATCCTGCCTTAACTATTTTCCCAAGCTTTGTTTACACAGCACCCAGGGTACCCACTTGCGCCTTACATCTCACCCTCTGCAGCATAAATGAAAGTCTCAAAAGACAACTGATTGCCCCGGAAACTGAAGTTTTGGTGTATGAGAGTCCTGATTCTCCAAATCATCACCCCATGTTGCTCAAGGCAATGGAAGGCTCCCTCCACAAACACTTGTTGATGTGAGTATCCCAGCTGACACAAGCCACCCCTTGAATGTAGCTGCAAATAGAAACCAAGGGAATGTAAAACCATGTGAGGATGATAGAAGAAAGAGTAACAGCTTCAGCCATGCAACAAAGCAGCCATTCAAGGCTGGTGGATGAGTCCAGGGCTTCATGCAGTTGTGTTCCAACAACAAGCAATATAACTTCATTTCTTGGGATAAAAAGGATTTTCTTCTGATAAAGAAATGCCTGTACAAATTCTTGATAAAGAAATGCTTGTACAAAAATTAAATTATTTCTCCAATCATGTCAAAAAGTTTATCAAATTCAAAGCATTATTTTATTATAGTATAATTTTGCCTACTTTTTTTTAAAAAAGAGGTCAAATTCAGATCCAGGAATAACTTGAAAACAAAAGCCCCTACATCACAGGACACAACACAGCTGATTTTCATCAGCAATATATATATTAGAAAAGGAACAGAAAAACGCATCATTGTTTTCATTGTCAGGCAATGAAAAAAAGGGTTTTCTTTAAATGAGATGAATGACTGGCTGCAATGCATAAAGAATAGGAGAGATTTGGTGGTTTAAATGGTTGTACAATAAACTCAATTGGTATGTCCACTGAAGCTCATACTTAACAGACATCATTCATGGCTTCCTGTGGTGTTCAGTGTTTTTAAGTCACTTATGTTGCCAGTACTATCTGATCAAACTAACAGCCCTAGACTTCACTTAAATAACTAGTTACACTGTGGTTGTAACAGTGGTCAGTTGGAATTACAGCATTTCAAATAAATTCTGAGCTTGGATATAACCATTGTCTCTGTGAAATGAAGACACAACATGAAAATATTTGGCTTGAATAAATACCTGATAATACTTCTCAGAAAAAAAAAAAAAAAAAAAAAAAAGAGCTTACAGGGGTATAAATGGATTCATTACAGTAGTGTGGCATGATATACAGCAAAAATGCAAAGCAGTGACCATCCTTCCACCCTACAGGTATCCATCTATCCTATCACTATGCGACCCAAGCAGATCACACATATAGATTCGTCTATTTTCCTACCACCCTTGAGAGAGAAAACAGCTTTAATGACATTCTGCAAAGAGAATCTGAAGCACAGAGGCACAAACACCACAGGTATTAAGGCTACCTGAGCATTTAAAACTCCACTGAAACAGAGAAGAAAGCAGCAGCATGTTTTGGCGGGATGCCAACACAGGCAGTCCTGCCCAGGGAGACGGCAGCCCAGCCTGGTTGGACACTGGGCTCCTGGATTCTGGCATTATTCTTTCAGCACAAAAGCCACTCCTCTCTTCAGGCCACCTCACTCCCACTTGCACATGGTTCTCACCCCAGGCAGATCTCCTTTCAGCTCACACAACCAGGGCCACTGCCCCTCACATCCTGGATAGTCACCTTCCAGCCCCACAGACTTCTGTCCCCTCCTAGAGCTGTTCTGCCTCTCCCAAGCAGCAGAAGATCCCCAAAGGCATAAAAACCAAGATTGCTTCTACTTCCCCTCCACCCTAGTACATGGCCATGACACCTGCCACTCACACCACCATCCATCCATCCACCCATCAATGCACTGAAACCATAAGCCATCAGGAAACTGTGCAGATACTGCATGAGCTTACAGCTTTTGCACACCTGAACGGCAACACTTGCAGGAGGTTTAGATATTACATGCAGTGGATTAGGTGGTTTCCACATATCTGCAGGCAATAACTGCTGTCATGAAAGGATCCTTTGTTTTTACACATCTTTATTGTTCTTTCATCTGTCCGCAGACCACTGCACACCCTCATTTATGCAAACCACAAGCCACTAAATTAACTGCTGCAGCAACAGCTGACAGCAAAACAATAAGATGAGGCTGAGCATGAAAGAGGTGGCTGCTTTTGTGACTTTGAAAACATGCCAGAAATAATTGCTTAAACCTCCCTTTTTTTAATTTATTTTATTTTATTTTTGTTAATCTTAGTTTATAAGAGAAGTGAGGCTGAGGAAGAAGTAATTGGTTAAAAGAGGACACAAAAAAGGATGAGCTATGATGTGTGATGACACTGAAGGCAAATGCTCCACAACCTCTTCTCTGACCAAACCTAAGTCTCTAAGCAAACTTCAATATCATAACATAGCATGAGTTTCACTGTGCAAAAAAATCCTTTACCATTTTCACAAATGAAAGCGAAATGGACAGTTACAATAAGCTACCATTTGCACTGAGAGCATCCTGTTTCCCATCTTCCTGTGTTCTACTATACTGGGAAAAAACAGTAGTAATTTTTCTGACCTAGCACTGTGGTATTGGTTTACACCACAAAGCTGGAATATTTTGATGCCTCCCAGAAAAACAAGTGTGGTCTGGACCCAGCACTTGCTCATCCCTTTGGAGGGAAGGCACGTGAGCATGTGCTGTTCCCCTTATTTCCTAACCACACGGTCCACCAGCTTCCCTGCCTCCATCACCAGCTCCTACCACAGAAGGCTAGGAAACCATCCCAGCTCTCCCTGTACAGCTGGGCTACCTCTCACACTGGAAACGAACACTTTATTGCAAACTGAAGGCACTGGGGGGTGACCAGGCAGCTAGGAAAAAATAAACAAGTGAAAGCACCGCCTGGAAGAGCATGGCTCCATACCCCAGCTATACCTGAGAGGACAGCCAGCTCATATAAACCAGATTAGTTCCTACTCAGAAAGATGGCATTTAACTATTAGGCTTTCTGCTGTTCTCATTAGCTCTCAATAGCTTCCAGACTTCTGTCAGCTGTTTCAGGGAAACTGGGTAAGAGTAAGATGTATTGAGACCACTGTGTTGTTGCACCACTACCATCCAGTCAGGAAACTGAAATTTCCTTTGTTGTCTTTAATTATTAAGCCTGTTTTATGCAGATAGAAAACATACTGTGTGCATTAAGGACGTCCGTCCCGAGGTCAGATTCCTCTCCCTTTCTGGCACAAGACTTTTGTTACACAAGCTAATATCTGTCTTGAGCTGTGTGCACACAGACGTATGGTGACTGATGTGTGCTTAGCTGGCCTACGTGCTTCACCAGTTGGCAAGCCACTTCTGTTTGTGAGCTGTACGGCCACATTAGCCTCTCACAAGGCTTATCACTTTAGGTGCACTAACTACAGGCTCTGGCTTTAGAGGCACTTGGGTTGCATTACTCACTGCATTTATTATTCCTATCAAACCTCCACCTTCTTTCCCTCAGACTGTTTCTCTCAACCCGTAGCGTCAGTGGAGGAGAATTTCTTCTCCTCCTTCCAGAAAGCAAAGGAAAAAGCTTAAAAGGATTGTTGCAAGATGAGAAGATCACAGCCGACCTCAAACAACGCACCCGTCTGCATACTGTATCATGGCTATCGCTCACGTTCGGGATCAGGCTTGATTTATCAAAACCTAAAAGTTCCAGCACCAAACAAACACAGCCATCCCTTGCGACACTTTGTGATTTCATGTCTGACAATGGCAGATGGGGGGGGGGGGTAGGAGGAGAGAAATCAGTCCCAAAACTCCAATTTTCATTCTAGCATGCAGTGAAGCTAAGCCAACATTGTACTGCAACCAGCCCTGCCAATTTTCCACTGGCTGTTTTGCATACGCTAGGCCCACACGTTTCTATTTTCTAGCAATCCCTGGCAAATATCCTGTCAGATTAGCAGCCGTTTTACTCTCAAGACATGACGCACAGAAAAACACCAGCAGTTTGTCTCCTCTAGAAACCACCTCCCTGCAACAGATTCAGACAAGTAGTTTTTAAAGCAAAAGCCGCAGTGATGACAAAGATTCAGAGGAAGCTCTGGCAGCATTTCCATACATGTGCATTGACCATCAAGGCCCGTATCAGACAATTTGCATCGTGTTAACTCGCTGTGAAACCCAAACCTGGTTTTACTGACAGGAATGAAAGAAAAAGAACAAATACAATGGGACAGCACTCACAACAGGAAGGCTTACGTGGTTCACTTGTATTCTGTCACAGATCAGCTGGGGTGGCTGGTTCAGGAGACTCAAAAACTCTCACGTTTCAAATTACAAATAATTTCAGGACTGGTTAAACATGCAATACACAAGTGTGTGCTGTTTCCAGACTGAAACACGCAATTAAGACAAAAATTGCATGGGTTTGCAATGAAAACAATAAATAAAATCAGAAGTCTTGCCCACATCAAACCATGCTACACCTTGTCTTCCAAACTCCCTCTCTTCCTCAGGCTCCTACAGGCAAGAGGGGAATGCCAGGGACAAGCAGGAGAAACCCAAAAAGGTGTTTTCCCCGAGTGCCTCTCTGGGGGCTGAGAAACCTTAGGAGACACCCTGTCTTCTTCATAACAGGATACTTATGCCACTGGTTTAGTTAATTGCTTTTGGCTGAGATGATGCTGTCTTCTAAAGTCTTTAGGAGAGGAAACATGATAGAAAGATTTCAAATGCACCAGAAAAATGGAAAATTAAGATGTTGACACTTGGGATTTACAGTAAAAACAATAGGAACAGTAGCCCATTGTTTAGGGTGGTAGGGCCCTCTTTCTTCATGCCCACCTAAATGAAGACCTTTGGAGGATCCAAACAGGGATCAAGACATCTTCCAGCATCTAAAACACAGCAGCAGTTATATTAAGCTGCTGCAGAAGTTCTCTGAAATAAGCAAAGTGTTAAGCAACACTTTTTCCTCTCTAATCCTCTAATAAATCACAACACAAAAATTAAAATATTTCCATGAGATGGGAAAATAGGTTCCCAATTACAGTATTTCCTATTTAGTCTGTTCTACAGCTAAGCATGAGAGTTCAAGCTCAAATCAGTATCTACTGATTATTTATACAGAGGAAAGAGAACCATAGCTTCCAAACACAATTCAGAAAGATACTAGAAAGATATTATTTCTCAGGTAGTTAAATGAGACCTTGTACAAAAAGTCTCAGGATCTGTTCAATCATTGTGCTATTCTCCCACCTTCACACAAAACGCAACCTCCATCCCAGCTGTGCCTCAAGGCAGCAGTATGTTACAGAGGGGAAAAAAAAAAAAAAAAAAAAAAAAAGGAAAGAAAGAAAAACATCAGCAGTAAGGGTTATTGTGGATAGTTTTGCAAAAAAGGGAAAACAGCAGCCATAAGACATGAGATGGGAGATGGAAGTGAGCCCCACTCCCAGCCCCCTGCCCCTTACCTTCGTAGCAGGGCAAGAGCTTCCGCCCGTTGGGCTGCAGGTTGGGGGGAATGATGTTGCAGAAGCCATGGGGTAGGATGTACTCTGTCTCATAGTAGATGTTTTTCCAGCGGTGTGCACAGGCCTAAACAGATCATACCACATGCATTACTGACCCAGTCACAGGAAAGCCCTCCAACCAAGGCAAAGTATGCATAGTGCATGAACAGCACCTCTCAGTATCACCTTCCTGCCACTGCCCCGTCACCTACCCTTTTCACTCCACTCTTTCTAGTCACAGCATCTTCTCACTATTATCTTCTGTAGCTTAGGACATTGCCTTACTTGGTGACTCAGATCTCATCCTTTATAGAACAGCTTGAGTTGGAAGGGACCTTAAAGACCATCCAGTTCCAACCCTCTGACATGGGCAGGGACACTTCCCACCAGACCAGGTTGCCCAAGGTCCCATCCAGCCTGGCCTTGAACACCTCCAGGGCGGCATCCACAGCTTCTCTGAGCAACCTGTGCCAGTGGTCTCACCACACTCTGAGTGAAGAATTTCCTTCTAACATCTAACCTAAATCTCCGCTCTTTTAGTTCAAAACCATTCCCCCTTATTCTATCATTATACGACTGAGCAAAAAGTTGCTCTCCATCTTTTTTATATGCCCCCTTTAAGCACTGAAAAGCTGCAATGAGGAAATCCTTCATATGTGCATGATGAGGAAAACAGCAGGTGTCACAGCAAGTCATAGCTCATGCTGGAGACTTCAAGATCTCTCGTTGTGTATTGACCCTTTGTACTGGGTTTGGCTGGTGTGAGGAATGTTTTAACAATTCCAATTCGTGTCCATAAATTCGTGTCCATAAAGAATAATTCTGTTTGAATCCTGTCTGCCTCTGGGCCCTGCAATGGCAGTTTAATTCTTGAACCACAGATGCAGTGTGCCCCAGTCTCCCCCTCATTCCAGTCAGTTTATCACGTCTTCAGAAAACACTCCTTAAATTTATGAACCTGTTTGCTTTTGTTATTCCTGACTTCTAGTTCTAACAGTTACAGTTTTTCTTTTCTGTCTTCTTCGAGATTGATTTAACACTGCTATAGATGTTATGTAGATGACTGTGAATAGCTGGGAAAGAATGTTTTAATTGCTCGTGAGTTGCCAACCTGTTTGGGAGTTTCAGAACAACTGATAATAACCGGTGACTGCTGGTGACTGTTATGGGATCCTTGGTATCTGGCCAGGGGGGCCAAGAGATTAAGAGGAAGAGAAAAGAAGCTGAAGGACGGTTGGGAGACAAGACCTGCGGAGAGTGTACAGAGAGTGTTCCATAAACTTGGAATAGTGCCAAGTAAGTACAAAGGGTGAGAGGAAGACTACGAGCCTTCAGCATGAAAGACCCCTAGAGACCCCCAGAGGAGACTGATGCGCATGCTCCAGTAGGAGGAACTGGACCCCGGAAGCTAATTTTAATAATCTCTTTTTTTAGAAGTAGTAATGAATATGTATTAGTCTAGGTGCATAAAAATCAGCTGCTTGATGTAACTGGTGTGCGTCCTGGTGGAGCAGAGACTCCCGGTGCACCCAGCGCTGTTTGCTTACCTCTATTCCTTTATATTCTTTTAATAAATCCTATTTTTTTATTTAATCCTAATTTGAATCCTGAGCCATTTATAACAATTTGGGGGCTCGTCCGGGATGGCTATAGTTCCTGAATTCTGATTTAATCTAGGAGAGGCGCCCCACCATTTGGTGGCTCCTGTTTGAGTCAGATCGGGACTGATGCCATCCTGAACCTGAATAAAGGTAAGCAAAGAATTTAATTTTTTTTGAGCTCCCGTGTTGCCGGCTGTTTTTTGCCCGTAATTCTGCGCGCGAAGATCCGGATGAAGACGACAGAGTCGTTTGGATACCGTTCGGTTGGATTCCGGTGTCCGGAATCGAACCGGATGAAGACGACAGTCGTTTGGATACCGTCTGGTTCGATCCCAGACGAAGACAGCAGAGACGCTGGTGGATACCGTCCGATTGGAGTCTGGACGAAGACGACTGATTCGTAAGATACCGTCCGGTTGGGTAAGGGTACGGTTGCCAGTTTTTTTGTGTGTGAGTGTAACTGAGACTTCTAAAGTCAGCGTGGAGGTCTTTTTGTTTTCTCACTGGTTCTAATCTCCTGTCGGGGGGGCTAGACTGGTGAGAAGAGGGATACGTGGGTGGGTGATAGGTCCTAAACCCCCTGCAAGACACTCTCACTGGGCAGCCAAGGGCTGTGGGAATTGCCACTAGTAAAATTCCTGGATGGGTCAGATAAAATCGAAGACCAAGGACCAGAAAGGGAGCAAATTACCAGATATATGACCAAAAAGTCCATTATGAATAATGATTAGAAATTGGAACAATAGGGGCCCCAGAAAATTAAAGAGTAAATTGAAAATGGTCCAGTATTATATGATAGAATGACCAAAAGAACCCTTAAGACCCCCTGTATTTTGATCCATGGAGGACGGGGTCTGTCAGGCTTTGAACATTAATAGTAGAATACCCGTGGATCCAGAAAAGAGCAAGCTGAAATATTGGAATTAGAAATTAGAGAGCAATTGATTAAGAATGAATATGTGCTACATTTGTGCCTGTGCTGCACTTATACCACCAGATAACAGGAGCCGCTCGGGCCCCGAGAACCAGATTAAAAACCTCATGGTTCAGAGTTTAACCAAGGTGTCTGAAATAAGGAGGACTGTTCACAAAGGGACAGGTTATGAATATGTATAGGAATGTTCATGTATATGTAACTCTTTACTAAAGCAATTTGTCACGTTAGGCCTGCACGACTTTGGGGGTACTACCCGCCCCATGCTGCATGGAACTGAGTAAACATACCTACTTTACAATCTTACTGATTGTGGAGTCAGCTTTCTGTGAGTCATTTTGGTGAGCCAGGCAGGAGACACTCTGCTCGGCTGCGGGATCGGCTGCAGCGTGGACGCCCCTAGGTGCACCCTGAGTGTTTTTGCTCGGAGGGGACTCCACTCCCAGCTGCTCACCGCAGGAGCAAAGAAACTCCTGAAACTGCAGACAAACGGTATGTTTTCGGCTGCTGGAGGGATACTAACTGGAGTGTTAATAATTGTATGTGTTTTTATGTATGTATTTTGTGTTGAAAGTATTTGTGTAAATGTAAGGGTTTGAAACAAAGTGTTACAAGTCACTTCATGAAAAACACAGTCAGAGACAATACTTATTTGGTTGGTTATCATTCTAAATTATATTCCTGCGGTATGAATGAGATGTGTTGGAGGCCTCCGTGTGCGAGTGTGCTGTGTGAGTGAGACGCAGCGTTGCTGCAAAGCGAGTGCAGAGTTCCGATCCGTTGTTCCGTACTCTCCGCAAGGGAGTGGGCAGAGACGAACGAAGTGCTTGACAGACTGAAAAGAAGTGCTGTTTTATCCAAGTTTTGAGTGGTGGTGCCTAATATATGGGCCTGGTGTATCTTGTGTATCTTGTGTATCCTATTTTTGCTCTTAAATGTTTTGACTGTGACAAGAAAAAGGCAGGAGCATGATATGACATGCTTCCTGCAACATATGAGGCCCGCACAGGCCGAGACCTGGACTCACTGAGACCCAGACTCGCTGAGACCTGAACAGGCGGAGAGCCTGGAGCGGCGCCGAGAGCCTGGAGCGGCGCTGAGAGACCCGAGACATTACGGAGGGACTACCGCTGGACGGAGAGAGCCCTGAGAGACGCTGCAGAGCCACGGATGGCTCTGAGAGACACAGAATAGACCTGACAGAAGCTGCAAAACGCGGGGAAATTGAAGTAATTGCAGAACATCCGAGATCGAGTTGCTACGGGAGACCAGAGGCGTCAGTGGACACTGGTAGCTGACCCTCACCGTGAGGCGAGTCGGCACAGAGCAAAGGGGCGGACATCAGGACCCTGCAGCCTGTCTGACATAACCATGGAGGCAGCGGCAGCAGCGGCTGTGCTGCTTCACTCTAGCATTCTTTTTATAAAAGGTTTATCTTGCAATGCAAAAAAAGACTATTAGTCCCCAGATCGGTGTTATAACTACTGCTAATGACGACTTAGCTCTATTGCAGGGCAGGAGTGCAGAGACGCAGATTACACTGCCAAACGACCACCGGCAGGCTCTTTCACAAACCTAAGGCTGCAGCCGGCACTGCCTGCAGCCATATAGCAGACGTTACACTCTCTTTCCTAACTAGTAATCATGTGTCTTATCCATGTCTTATCCATTTGTGGTGAATGGCCAGTGACAAAAAAGAAAAGGGGGGGAGACAAAGACAGAAACGGTACAAGGAGGATGCCACTGACACTAACAGCATGGGTAATAGGAGTAGTATAAGTGACACAGGTGACGGTGCAGGGCGCTCTGCCTGCTGCTCACCTTCGCCTGACTGTGCACTGCTGCCAACGGTGCTAGAGTAAAATGTGAAGACTGCTCAGATGGCAGTGATGAGAGTTCTTGTGTGAAGAAGATGTGTACTGAATCTGACTTTGTGTGCATAGATATCAATAAAGTGTGTAACCAGCAGAGAGACTGCAAGGACTGCAAGGGGTGATGCCCCTGAAGGAATGCAACAAAAATGAATGTGACTGTCCAGCTGGGTTTGAGTTTGTAGACAAGAGAAACTGTGGAGATATTGATGAATGTCAAAACCCTGGTATCTGTAGTCAAATCTGTATCAACCTGAAAGGTGGCTACAAATGTGAATGTAGCCGTGGCTATCAGATGAATCCTGCTACAGGAACCTGGAAAGGGCCATACTGGTACAAAAACACAAATAACACCTGTGATTATAATGACACTGCTAAGCAGGGTTTAGGGGTTCATAAAATGAGACAAGGGGTAACAACTACAGTGTTTGGAACAATTGTACAGCTTTGGCCTTACCTCCTGATGTTTTTCTGATTTGTGGGGATAGGGCCTGGCAAGGTATCGCTGCAAATGCTATCAGATGTCCATGTTACTTAGATAAACTCATTGTATTTGCTCCTAGCTTGTTACAGTTGCGTGAGATCACCAGACATAAATGGGCATTGCTTGCATCGGATTGCAATGATAATGTTGAATTGTGTGGGGTTGCAGCTAGAGCGGCATTAGCAAGTTCAGTGC